CCCTCCACTCCCTCTCTAGACACCCCCTCAACCCCCCAGCTTCAGCCTGCAGCTGTGGGGAATCTGGGACCAGTAGGAAACATACCCGCAGATTTGGGGGAGAGAAGAGAGAATCTGGACCCATTTACGCCACCCCCCAACCCCGGTCCCAGCAGCCCGCTCGGCAAGCCCACCTTTACTCCCCATCTCCGCTCTGAGTGAGAGGCTGTGGACACGGCTACTTCTCGGGGGATTTCGCCCACTTCAGTGGAACCCGGAGGGCAGGAGTAAGGGGCGGGGCCCCTTTGTACCCAGCCAATGGCTCTCCATAGAGGTGGGGACAGTTCCAAAAAGGAGTGGCTCTCTTTGTAAACACCCCAAAGCAGTGATGTCTATAATCACCATGGCCGTTCGTGGAGGCTTAGCGTTATTTTAGAGGAAGGCGGGCTCTCTTCGCAACTGGCCAACGGATGCGGTCAGGGAAGAGGAGCGTTTTTAAAAGGCGTAGAGTTTACTTGTAAATGTCCCATGGCCACAACCAGAAGACAGCCTTATTTTTTCAGGGATTTGTCCCATCCAAAATCAGCCTCTAGGAGGAGCACTCCAAAAGAGGGATTTTTTTTTTTTTAAGTAATCAGCCAATCCTAATACTCAAAGGAGGGTTCGCGCCTCAAGTGGGAGGGAGAACTATAAAAAGAACGAATGGCAATCGTAGGTAACGGGGAATTTTTTTAAAGGGCGGAGTTTATATCTAGCCAATAGCAATACCTCCTCTTCTCCACTCTCCTCACTTCCTTCGCGAGGTTGGTCCCTTTAAATTCCAACCCTCCCACCTTCACTGTAGTCCAAAGAAGCACCTTCACTCACGCACTTTACCGCACTTTACCTAGAAGGAGTGGTTCCAATGTGAATTCTGATTGGTCCGTGCTATCGAGGCACTGCCCCGTGATTGGCTCCCGCTCCAGATGCCCCCACGGCTCTTCCTCCTTCAGGTCCAGCGAGGGCTCATCAGGCCAAGAGTTCGAATCCCGGGATCGGGGTGGGGATGGGGTACCCGCCTGGGGGGTTCCAGAGCCGGGGCTGGGCTGCAGAGTCAAGACTTCCGGCGGCGGTGGCGGCGGTGAGGACTGAGGGAGTCCGAGTTGTAGGTCCAGTTCTGGCGCGTTAGAAAGAGAAGGCCATGAGCTTTCACCTTGGAGGTGCCCTGAGGAGAGACCACCCACCCCTTGTGGCTTCGGTCCCAGCACCTCTGACATCTCACCTTTCCCAGCCTCTCCAACCTCCGACCCGTCGGGCTCCTCGTCCTCCAGCGGGGTGCAGCTACTGGTGGCAGAGTCTTCTCCGGACCCCGTTCCCCGGGCTGCCCAGCCCAGCTGGTCCAGCTGGAGCCCTAGGTCCTCCAGGCGGCGTTCGGCCGGAGGGGCAGTGTCGGGGTCACCGCGGCGCCCAGGTTCCGGGGATTGGCTCAGGCTGGGGATGCTCTCCAAACTGTCGCCCAAGCCGGGCTGAGGGGGTGGGTCTCGCGGTTCCGAGACTGAGCGGCCCTGGGGCCGGGGGCGGCGGGCAGCTGAATCCCGGCGCACTCCAGAACCCACCACACCGTCGAAGGCGATGTAGGAGAAGGTCAGCTCCCGGGGGGTGCCCCAGTCTTGCGACGTGGTCTCTTCCTCATCGTCCTCTGAGAATTCTCGGGCTGTGTGAAGCTCCCGAAAATCCGAGTCGTCATTCCCTCCTGCAGTAAGCAAAGGAGGGTATGAGCTACTCTAAGCGGGACCCTGACCCACTCTCTTCAACCCTCCTATCCAGCTGTGAGCCCCTTTGCGTCCCGCTCTCACATTCTCCCCCTCCACTTACCTTCTGTGGAGTCAGGGGTAGAGGACGCTGTAGACGGAGCTTCTTCTGCGAGAGGGAAAGAATCGAAGATTCTTAGAAGCTTAGACTGTCGGAATCACAGAAGCGTGCCAGTCCTGGAAACTTGGACGGTCCGAATTAAGGAATCTTAGAATACTTGAACCACAGGACCTTTTGAACATTCTACATACAGACCGTAAAACCTTACTATAGTGCTATCAGAAGCTCAGCCGTGTAAGTTCAAATCCAGGAATCTTAAGAGTCTTCAAATTAGGAATTTTAGGAGGTTTCAATTAGTTCATTCTTTCAAAAACCATTTATTGAACACCTACTATGTACCAGGCACTGTTTTAGACTGAGAATACAAATGTGAACAAAACAGACAAAATCCCTACGCTCACAGGCCTTACACTCTACCGGCGAGAAAGACAATACACAAATATATGATGTTGGGTGCTAAGTGTGTGGAGAAAAATAAATCAGGGTAAGGGAAGAGAAAGTGAGAGGATGCTATTTCAGACAGGGTGATCAGGAAGACTTCTTTGATAAGATTACATTTAAGCAGAGCCTTGAATGAAGTGAGGAAGCCATGAAGATGTCTAGGGAAGAGTCTTCCAGGCAGAGGAAAAAGCCCAGTGCAAAGGCCCTGAGGCAGACAATATGCTTGGCAAATCTGAGGAACAGAGAGGTGTGAAGGCATGACTGGAACAGAGTGACTGGGAGGGAGAGGGGTGGGTGATGAGGGCAGAGAGGTGGTGGTGATAGGGATCGTGTAGGGCTTTCCTTTGTAAGCCCAGGTAAGGACAAGATTTTAGGATGTTGGGATGATACTCTTTAATGTTGAAATAACAAATGGTTAGAATTTTGGCATCTGGACTCCTAGGACATGCAAGTGGCCAGATCTGAGAGTGTTGAAATTCTCAGCTGCGGGAACCACGGGGGTGTGAGACAGAAAATGTTAGACGAGGACTGTTCAAGCCCTGGTCTCAGAGATCGTGAGCATCAGATAAGGTATTTTCAATTGTGCAACCTAGCCCCTCAGAGCTAGCTTGGGGCTTTGCCTACAGGAGATGCTCAATACCGTTTGGGAACTGAAATCAGATGCCCCCCCCCGCCCCCACCTCGTTTTGGCAGCTGGGGAATCGGAGGCCCAGAGTAGAATGGGTGTCTTCCAGGGTTACTACTAATCAGTGGTAAAGCTCAGTAAGGACCCAGGAGTCCTGGCTCCAACCCAGGGATGGCTGTTTCCAAGGGACAGGATGTTGGACAATTTGGGCGAGGTCGGGGCAGCCTCTGAGTCTGGGCAGAAAACGGAGGTGGGATGCAAAGATGGATGATTGGGGGGGTGGTTAGATCCCTCTTCTCTATCCTGGCTCTACCCCTCCATTCAACTCCCCTCCCTGCCGGCTGCGGCCAGCACCAGGGCGAGGGGACAGCTCCCGGAGAGCGTCCTCATCCCTGGGTGCGGTCCGGCGCCATATCCCAGAGTCCGGCGCGACCCCCCGCCAGCTATCTCAGTGCCCCCCACCTCTGCCTTGACTCACTCAGGTCCTCCGGGTCAGGTCGCCCCCGTCGCCGCTGGAATGCGGGGGGAGGGGAGAGCTTCCTTTGTCTCCTTCGCCTCCTCCCCCATCCCAATTCTCCCGCGACCCGGCACGGAGTGGTTACTGGGGAGGAGCCCACCCGGGCCTCTGGGCCCCACACCAGGCCTGAGTCTCCCCTTACTCACTGCAGTGGGCGAAGACAGGCAGGACCTGCCCCATGGCCCTCCTCGGGCCTGCATCGGGACCCCCGCCCACTCCGGCCACGCCGCCCTGGGCCTGGGGCCGCGGGTGCTCATCTCCGCCGCGCCCACGACGCCGCCGCCATCCTCGCCGCCTCCTCCTCACGGGCCGCTCCAGCAGCAGCAGCAGCAGCAGCCGCCGCCGCCGCCCTCTGCTCCGCTCGGCGGGGGCGGGCGGGGCCGCGGCGGGGAAGGCACTGCAGCGCGGGGCCGGGGGCGGGGCCAGTGGGCCAGCGGGGCGGAACCTAAGGAAGGGCGGGGGCGCTGGTAAACACCCAGGGGCGGGAGGGGCGTGGCTTTCTACGAAAGGGGCGGGGCTAGGTTATGCTACTGGGCCGAAAAGGCGAGGAAGGCGGTCTGAAGGGCGGAGCCTGATGGGAGGGGGCGCAGCCTCTAGCGGAAGAGAGGAGGAGCCTAGGGTAGGGCAGAGGAATGGGCTCCCGGGGAGAATGGTGAAGGCGCCTAGAATGAGGGCGTGGATCTCAGAGTGGGTTGAGGCGGAGCTCGGGAAGGCATTCAGGAGAGGGTACCGATCCGCGGTAGGGTCCGAGCTGAGAACTTCAGAGGGAGTGGGTTAGGGGGCAGGAGAAACTATTCAGAAAGTTTGAGACAAGGGGAGGGGCTCAGATATGGGTGGGGCTTAAGTTAATTTATAATTATGCCGGTAGTTGGGCGGAGTCAAAGACCAAGGTAGAGGCGGGGCCTAGGAAAAATAGGAAAATACAGGCAGGAGAGAGGGCGCGGCCCAGAAGGTAGACGTAACCTACGGAGAGGAAGCCAGACTCTCCAGAATGTGAGGACTGGGACTGTAGTTAAGAGGCGGAGCTAAAACTGCGAAAATTAGGAGCGTCTGAGGCTGTGTGTTTGAATGGATGGGTGGGACCTGGAAAAGAAGCAACTGAAGCCCTGGGGCAAGACCCAGCAGTGGAGGGGTCGAACTGAAAAAAATAAAGGATTTAAAGATTTTGAAACTGGGGGCGGGACCACTGAGGTGGGAGGATTTTAGAGAGAGCAAAGCTGGGGACCCGAAGCTAAGAGTGTCGAGAACATGAATTCTAGAGTTCGTTTCCCTGCAGCACTGTTTACTTCTTTTACGACTCAGTTTCCTTTTCGGTAAATCGGAGACGATGTAAATAGTGGTAGCACATGGTAAGTGCTGTTTACTACTACTATTTTTCCGTGACCCAGATCCCAAACATCACTTTGTAGGTGCAAGAAAGAGGACACCCAAGAATCCGATCTCTCCTAGTAACTCCACTTGAGTGCAGGTCAAGGGCGCAGGAAGGAGATTTAGGTGGTTTAAAATCTCACAGTGGAGGGGATTAATGGAGTGTGGGGGCGGGGGCAGGTGCAGAGGGTGGAGGCTTCCTGATCCCAGGGCTGAAGGATGGCTGCCTTTGCCCGCCTGCTGGAGCGTCTCCTCTGGCCAGCCCGCAAAAAACAGGAGTCAGAAGAGGAAGCGGAGGAGGGGCACAGGACTCAGCATGGGCCTCGGTTGCTCCTGGACGCGCCGCGATGCGTCCAGCGGCCGCACGGGGGTGCGGCCGCGTCTTGTGGCCTGCGCTTCGGGGCGAGCGCTGTGCAAGGCTGGCGCGCGTACATGGAGGACGCGCACTGCGCTTGGCTCGAGCTGCCCGGGCTACCGCCAGGCTGGGCATTCTTTGCGGTCCTCGACGGCCACGGCGGGACGCGAGCTGCCCTCTTCGGCGCGCGCCACCTGCCGGGCCACGTGCTCGAGGCACTGGGCCCAGCGCCCGGCGAACCCGAGGGAGTGCGCGGGGCGCTACGCCGAGCCTTTCTGAGCGCAGACGCACAGCTGCGTGCGCTCTGGCCTCGGGGCGAGCCGGGGGGCTCCACAGCCGTGGCGTTGCTCGTCTCCCCGCGATTTCTGTACCTGGCGCACTGCGGTGACTCCCGAGCGATGCTGAGTCGCGCCGGCGCCGTGGCCTTCAGCACCGAGGACCATCGGCCCCTCCGGCCCCGGGAACGGGAGCGCATCCACAACGCGGGAGGCATCATCCGCCGCCGGCGTCTCGAAGGCTCTCTGGCAGTATCCCGAGCGCTGGGCGACTTTGCTTACAAAGGGGCTCCGGGAAGGCCCCCTGAGCTGCAGCTCGTTTCCGCGGAACCTGAGGTGACCGCCCTGGCTCGCCAGGGCGAGGACGAGTTCTTGCTATTGGCCTCCGACGGTGTGTGGGACGCGATGTCTGGCGCTGCCCTGGCGGGACTGGTGGCATCGCGCCTCTGCGTGGGCCTGGCCCCGGAGCTTCTCTGCGCGCAGCTACTGGACACGTGTCTGTGCAAGGTCCTGAGGGCGGGGCTTGGAGTCACTGAGGGGAAGAATTTAAAGGATCTAGGGAGAAGGGATCTTGAGGGAGAGGCTCCCTCAAACGAGGGGTAAGGCTCCACTAAAGGGCGTGGCCTGCCGGAGTGGGCAGGGCCAAAACGTGGAGGGGGCGGAGACTGAGGGCTGTCTTGAAGCAAGATGGGAGAACCCTATAGAACTGGATAGGCAAGTGGGAGGGACTTAAGAGAAAGGGCGTGGTCTTTTGGAACGGACTGCTCTGGGTTTTAGGGTAAGATTAGTGCCAAAAGGGAGAGCAACAGGGCGCCTGGGTGGCTCAGATGGTTAAGCGTCTGCCTTCGGCTCAGGTCATGATCCCGGAGTCCTGGGATCGAGTCCCGCATCGGGCTCCCCGCTCTGCGGGAAGTCTGCTTCTCCCTCTGCCTCTCTCTCTCTCTCTCTCTCATGAATAAGTAAATAAAATCTTTAAAAAAAATAAAAATAAAATAAAATAAAAGGGAGAGCAACAGGGCAGCGGAGTGGGAGGAGCTTCGGCGAAGGGGAGCGGTTCTCTGATAGAGTGAGGCTAGGACAGTGAAAGGAAGTGATCTAGATGACTGGTCCTGGTGGGAGGACTTGGTTTAGACGGGCAGATGGGCAAGACTTGAGAGGAAGGGGCCCCACCAGACTGGGGAGGAGGGCACTAGAACTGAGATTGTTGGGAAGCTGCGCTTCCAAGGGCATGGAGCCCCGTGCGGGGGCATTCAGCCGTGTCTCACCAGGCTCCCTTTTCCCCACTTTCTCCAGGGTAGCCTGGACAACATGACCTGCATCCTGGTCTGCTTCCCCGGGGCCCCCAGGCCTTGTGAGGAGGCCATCAGGAAGGAGCTAGCGCTGGACGCAGCCCTGGGCCGCAGGGTCGCCGGTGAGCAGGCTCCAGAAGCTTAGCGGGAGGGGTGGTCAGTGGGCAAGGACATCCACGTAATCCTTGCCTCCTCAGAGCTGTGTTCCTCTGCTCAGGAGCCCCCCAGCCTGAACACGGTTTTCTGGACTCTGGCCTCGGAGGACATCCCAGATTTACCTCCTGGGGGAGGGCTGTACTGCAAGTGAGTGTGTTGGGGGGGGAGGTGGGATGGGGGCAGGGGTGGTAGAAGGAGGGTCCCCTCCTGAGGGCCTCTCTCGGCTCTCCAGGGCTGCTGTCCTTGCTGAAGCTTATTCTCAGCTCTGCCAGGCCCCAGGACGCAACTGGCAGGTAAGGACCCTATGTTCTTGAATGTTTCTCTTGGAAGCCTGTAACCCAGCCCTCCTACCTCCTTTAGTGTTGGGGAAATTGAGGCCAGAGGAGACAAGGGACTTGCCTGGTATATTAATAAATTCTCACTCCTGGCTCTGAAGCATTGTGCTAGACATGATGGGGGCAGGGGAGGGGGTAAGCAGAAGCAGAGAAGAGACTGCTCCTCTTCCGGAGACATGTGTCCCCTGCATTACTCTGTAAAGCCCCATCATCCCAAGCACCACCCCCTCCATCCATAAATAAGGCACAAAAATTCCAGGAATGTTTATGACCAATCCCAAGCCCTAAATGTGCTGCAGAGACTACCGGGGACATCTCTGAGGATGGTCTGGGTCTTGGACAAGAGAAGTGGTGACTCGGGCATGGACAGAATCTGGAGCTGTCCGAAGAGGTGGTGGAGTCAGGGAGGAAATGGGAGGGAGGGAGCTGGGGCTCAAGCCCCCAGTCCTTTGCATGGCAGAGAAGGGAGTTCAGGTAAATAACCTGGAGGAGAAGGGGAGGGGGGCGATTTTTGATAATTCCCCAGCAGCAGTAGGAGGTATTTGTCAGGATTGTTTGATTTGCAACTGACAGAAACCCAATTCCACATGGGAAAGCAAAACAGGGAACTTACTGGGTTATGTCATTGAAGACTTCAAGGACGGAAGGCATGACTACTCCAGTTGTCAGATGATGTCATCAGGAAGCACCTCTTAGTTTTACTTTCTCATCACTGACTTCATTTGCAGGCAGGGTCTCTGCACAAGGTAGCAGAGAGTTGCAGTTCTAGCCTCCCATCCCAGGAGCCCAACATCCCCAGTGGAGAGAGTTCACCAGGTTCCTAGTAGCGGGAGCCCTGGTTCCACAGCTGGCTCTCATTGGCCACACTGTACCGCATGTCTGACCAGTCACCATTCTCTGACTGGCTAGGCTGGGGTCACATGCCCACCCCTAGCGCTTGGGGCTGAGGTCCACTCCACCCAAACCAAAAGGATTGGGAGATGGGGAATGGCGGCCCCTCAAAGGCAAATAGGAGTGGTGCTTCCAGAATAGAGGGGAGCAGATACTGAGAACCAAGAAGAGGTTCTTATTAGCCATTTCCCACCTTCTTTGTTACAGAAGGGCCCGAATGGGGCTGGAAAGCCCACCGGCACCCATTCAGACTCTTCCTTGGACTTGAAGCCCTGACAGCCGTTGCCCTTTGGGGATCCTCTGCCCAGCCGTGGCCTGAAAGGAACTAAGGAAGAGAACCTCTTCCCCAGCTACACAGACCGGCGGAAGGAAGACAAACGGATGGAGGAACCCCGGAATGCTTATTTCCCCTTCTCCTCCTTCCCTCTCACAGAAAGTCTTATGAGGGGAAATTCTACCCACCCTCTGAACTAAGAAAGAAAGAAAAGAAAGAGAAAGAAAGAGAAAGAAAAGAAAGAAAGAAAGAGAGAGAGAAAGAAAGAAAGAAAAAAGAAAGAACCACCCCAAACCAAATCAAGTGTTTTTGAAATATTTTGAGCTGAATGGACCCTTGCGTGATCACCCAGTTCAATAACCTTCTCTTCCATTCCCATTTTTCATCTGTTTTGGGGGGAGTTAGGGGAGAGTATCTATTATTAAATTTTAATGATATATAACTGAAAATAAATTTCTCTTGTAGAAACAACAACAACAATCCAGACATTATTTGTCTTGTCATTTGGCAGATACGTACTGGGCACCTGCTGCGTGCCAGGCCCTGCTCACCGCCATCAACCGGGCGGAACCACTGAGATCCCGCCCCTCCCTCTCCCTGGGGGCCCACCTCCTCCTGTGTGGGGGGGAGACAGCGAACAAGGGAACTGATAATATCATTTCAGATACTGATAAGTGTCTCAAGGAAAATAAAACAGGACAGGGTGATAAGATGTCTAGGGGAGCTACTTTGCTTTTTTTTTAATTGTATTTTTTTTTTTTTTGAATGGGGGGAAGTTCACTTGGTTCAAAATTCAAAGGGTACAAAATGGTTTACAAAAATGAAAGGTCCTGGGATCAAGCCCCCAAGCGTTCAGCGGGGCTCCCTGCTCAGCAGGGAGCCTGCTTCTCCCTCTCCCTCTTCTCTCCCCCTGCTTGTGCTCTCTCTGTCAAATAAATAAATAAAATCTTTTAAAAAAAATGAAAAGTCTTGATCACTGAACCAGACAAAGCATTGCTGACCCATGAGACTAACACGTGAAAATATATTTAAAAATATTTCAATAAAACTGCCTGGCTGGCTCCGGGCTGCCCCTAAAAAAAAAAAAAAAAAGAAAAGAAAAAAGAGAAGTCTTTCTCCCCCCTACTCCTTAGCCACTCAGTTTTCCACCTGGGGTTTTAAATAGGGGGATCAGGGAAGAACTCTGAGAAGGGGCCAGCCATGCAAATATGCCAGGGAAGAGTGTCCCCAGGCACAAGGAATAGCCAGTGCAAAAGCCTAGAGGCTGGATGGAACGTGGCATTTTCAAGATGAGGCTTGGGATGTCTTGAGATGTCTATGACCATCAAATATTTGCCCATTCTCTATCCTATCAGTAACCAGTGTAATGAGTTTGGAGTGGATCTTTCCAGACCTTTTACTCTGCGTGTACACACATGTATGTGGTAACTTTGGTGTTTCCTTGCTTTTTTTCATACTGTGTATTACTTGGCAATTGTTTTTTTTCCCCTCAGTGATATGTTTGAGACTACTTTCCTGCCATTTACACACCTCATTTTTTTCCCCGCTGCTGCCCAGCACTGCAGACAAGGGGATCTACAATGGTTTCACTATCCATCCTCCTCTTGATGGACATTTTTTTTTAAAAGATTTTATTTTTTTATTTGAAAGAGCAGGAGGGAGGGGCAGAAGGAGAGGGAGAAGCAGACCCTGCCGAGCAGAGAGCCCCACGTGGGACTCGATCCCAGGACCCCAAGATCATGACCTGAGCCAAAGGCTGACACTTAACGGACTGAGCCACCCAGGCACCCCTTGATGGTCATTTAAACTATTCCCAATTTCTTGCTCTCACATCGCTGCTGCCACAAAGATCCTCGATCAGGTTTCCTGTGTACATATGCCAGTCTCTAGTGTAACGGGTCCTACCACCTGTTTTGTACAGCACCTGAGCTAAGAATGGTTTTTACATTTTTAAAAGGATGGGAGGAAAAAGGGGAATATGTGAAAGATACCCTATGTCTGATATGTCCCAAATATTTATTATTTGGACCTTTATAGAAAACTTTGCTGGGACGCCTGGGTGGCTCAGTCAGTTTAGGATCTGTCTTCGGCTCAGGTCATGATCTCAGGGTCCTGGGATCGAGCCCCGCATCGGGCTCCTTGCTCCGCGGGGAGCCTGCTTCTCCCTCTGCCTGCCCCTCCCCCTGCTCGTGCACGCGCGCGCGCTCCCTCTCTCTGATAAATAAATAAATAAATAAATAAAATCTTAAAAGAGAAAAGAAAGGAAACTTTGCTGAACGAAGTGCAGGCGGCACACAGAAGTACTAACCCTCCCATTTCACAGATGGGAAAGCTGAGCCATAGAGAGGCGAAAAAAGTTGCCTGAGGTCACAAAGAACTGGGGTTCTCATTCTGTCGGATAAATGTGTGTTGAGCTGGTGTTCTGGGCCTGGCTGGATTGAGTGAGGCACAGAAACTGATCAAGTCTACCCCTGTCCCCGAAGAACTTACAGCTGAGGGGACAGAGTGGGAAATAATTACAACCTAGGTGGCTTAGCGTTCAAGAACTCCCAGAGAGGGTAGATAGGGGAGATTACTCAGTTCTTTAGAGAAGAATTAATGTCAGAGCATGGCCTCAAAGGATGAAGTGAAGAAGGTCAGAACAGCATCCAGGCAGAGCGCCAGGCTTGAATAAAGCCTGGGAAAGGTGATTCCTTTACCTGGTCAGCTGGGTCCTGCGAATTGTTGGTTTCACACTCCTACCTCGCACCCAGGCACCACTGTGATTCTGAGGGCTCAGGCAAGAGGGCTGCGGCCTAGATTTACTCCTTACCTCCAGGCCTCAGTTTACCCATTTGTTAACGTTGCCCTGATGACTTCCCAGGCACCCTGCGCACGCCTAGGGCACCTGACCCGGGCCAGGTGGCGCTCTACGGGAGGGGAGGGGCCACTAGTGGCGTCACATGGGGCGGGGCTTGCGGGACTCGCTGCGGAAGCCTGGGAGGGTGTTGGGGCTGAGCCCCAAGCCGCCGCGTGGGGGAGGGGGTTGCCAGGAGCCAGCACTAGGGTGGGTGCCCCTGCCTCCGCGCCCACCTCTTGCTGGATGATCCCACCATCCTCTGCGGGTGAAACTGAGTCACGGCGGGGCGTGCGTGGGGAGAGGTCCGGGGGCTTTATACACACGGGAACCTGGAGTCCCACCCCCACCCAGGTCCAGCGCCGCACCCCCACCCCCACCCCTCGGCTGTGAGTCAGCGGCCGGCCGCGCCCCCTCGGCCCACTTCCTCCTCACCTTCCTGGGGCGGGCGGGGGGGGGCGGTGAGAGGGATGGGACCCTCCCCGCCCATCCCCCTCCTGTGCTGGGAAAGGGGGTTTACCCCTTAGTAGCCCTTCATAAATTGGCAGAGAAGAGAGACATTGCGGGTGTGAAGGTAGCATTTAAGGGAGAAAATCTGAGAGAATCTATGTTTAAGCAGAGGATCCTCTTCGCCCCCCCGCAAACTGAGCAGAATGTGAAGAAATGGAGAAGTCGTTGGGGAAGGTGAGAAGAAATTGGGTCCCCATTAAGGTCCTCCTAAGAATTTCCATCGTGGGAGAGAACGAGGGATCAGGAAGGATCCCTTACCTCCACCAAACTTGCCCCCTAATTTGGGGGTGACCCTCGGCGTGCATCTCTATGCAATAACGTTGGGGAAGAGGTAAATAGCGGAAGTCTAGGGTTCCGCGTTGCCCTTTTAAGCGCCCTTCACCCCCCCCCACCCCACTGTCTTGAGGTTTCCGCGGCCCCTTTAAGGCGCAGGGCATTGTGGGTGCGGGGAGTGGAATTTTGGAACGAAATGTAGCGAAGAGAAGTACAGTAGTAAGAGTAACATTGTACCCGCCGCCGGCCGAGGGGGCGCGCCGGGGACGGGACGCCGCACCCCCTTTCTGCCGCAGGGACCCCCGATCAAACCTCCGGAGGGAGGAGGCGCCTGAGGACCCGCCCCGGCCCCGTCCGCGTTCCCCTCCAGGAAGCTGGACTCTATGGGGCGGGACCCTGGGGGAGACTGAGCAGAATCTGGAGCCAGCCCCGAACCCCTGAACCTTGAGCCAGGGGCGCCCCGGGAGCACCCACCCGTGGGTGCGCCGCCCTCCCGCTGAGCAGCCATGAGGTGAGCCTCGAACTGCCTCCAAACCCTTTCGCGCTCCGCGCGGGCTCCCCGCCCCGCCTTTGTCCCCCTCCCCCAGCTTGCTCCGGGCTGGAATTTGGGGACAGGGCACTGGGGGCCTCGGATTTGAAGCCGAGCCCCCTTGGACGAGTTCCAAATACTGACCACTTGGCCATGACTCCTAAGTCTTGGGGTGGTGCCTGTGAGGTTCTCCTGGGAGCCCTTAGATTTGGGGGCGCTCCGAGGACTCCCGAATTTATTAAAGACTTTTCAGAGAACCTCCAAGTTGGCAGATACTCCCTGCATGGAGGCCAGGATTTAGGCAGGGCTCAGACTCCCCCCAAATCTCAACTTGGGCTCTGGGAGGGATGGGGGACCGGTTTGGGGGTCCCTGGGACCGGGAAGAGAGATTTGAGACGTAGACCTTGGCTTGCGGGGTCTCCCTTTACGTGGCGCTGGAAAAGCCCTCCCAAGTGGGACCTCGCTTCTTAACTTCGGGGGTACTTAACCCCCTAAATTTGGGGGGCTCTCGTCCTCCTCTGGAGGTTGGTGCGGACGGACCCACGGACCCAGACGCAGCCTCGAGGGTCTGGCTGGGACTCCCCTCCCCCGCCGCTCCCCACCCACATTCTGCTTGAAACCAGCGGTGCCTAGGACGGAGCTCCAGCGCTCAGAGTGGAAGGCGGCTCCCCGGCCCCGGGCCAAAAGGGCGGCCCCTCACCCCCACCTGCGCGGTCCTGGGGTGGGAGGGGGCGCGGCAGCTGGGGGAAGAGGGGCCTTTGTCTTCCTGACTCACCTGTCGAGACAGCTGGTGTGGGGGGGCGGGCAAGGAGCGCTGTGGGCCGGCTGCTTTCCCCACCACGCGCCTCCCCCTGCTCTCACCACCGCCCCCCTTCCTGGCCATCCGGAGCTGTGGGGTTGGGGGGGTGCTGTGAAGCTTCAAGGTCATAGCCCTCTCCCCTTGGGACCCAGGCTTCCAAGACTGTCCCAGCTATCTTCCCAATAATTTAATCTTGGGGGTGGGGGGACCCAAAGGACCCAGGGATTTTGTCTTACCCAGCCCTCCCTCAAAACTCCGGGGCTCACCTGAGCGCGGGGCCAGTGTGGGCTG